CATTTGTGATTTTGGGACCAGGACGTGACAAGGTTACCGCAAATAGGTCTCATTTTGATAATATGAATAGTCTAATTCACCTTGATGGAAGAAACAAACTAGCATACTATGATGGCATTTACAATGACCTTGTTATTGAGAAGTAAAACATTTCAAGACTGCAAGGCTTAAGTTTTGATATTATGTACCTACACCATCTGTCAAGAAAATGTTGACGAGCATTTTAAGCACAAGATTACATAGTAACAGTGAAATGTTACAACCTGTAAACAAATAGTAGACCTATACACAATCAGTCATGTAGATAAAGTGTTCAAACTCAAAAGATTGGTGCCCAATCTGAATTAGGTTATCAAGCTTAATTCCAACCTTAACTTCAACATATCTTAGTCTCTACCATGAAAAGAAATCAAAATTTTGCAACTGTTCAGTTCTACTTGCACCTATTCATATGCAACTAGCTGCCACTTTTAACAAATTGCAAATTAATTTAATTTGTTTTTGGATATTTTAAATATTTTATTGGGAAAAATGTTTTAAGGCCCCAAAATATTAAATGGGATGTGACTAGCCCCCCCCCCTTATTTTTTTTGGGTGTCAAAGCCCCAATACAAGAAACACTTGTGTTTCAGCCCCTTTTTCCTTTTCCAAGATAACACAATGAGCCATTAATTAAGAATACCTAAAATACCCTCAACTCATTCCCCTTCCTCTCAAGACCTTTCTGGCTTCTCTCCCTCTCATCTCTTCTCACGCTCAAACCTCCGTGAAATTGGGCGGAGGCGACAACGAGAAGAAGCCGCCACCGTCGGTGAACGTGTGCAGACGAGGGAGGAAAATTTGCTTCGATGGCGCTCTGGATCCCATCCTCCTCCACAATCACTGATACCTCCTGCCGCCTCGGAGGTGACCTGACCGCGGCCACCGACACCGAAGCCGATCTACTCTTCCTCAACCTCCTCTAAAACCGAAGGTATCACCTAATAAGCTCCCTCTATTTCTCCCTCTAAAACCCTTTTCTTCATCCTCCGAGCATTCTGAGATTTAAAAAAAAAAACATTGGCGACTAAGAAAGCCTAATCCCCGAGGCAGGAAATGGAAGCACGTGGCGTCGACTTCCGCCCTCGCACACTCGAAGACATCTTCAGGGATTACAAGGGCCGATGGACTGCCCTTGTCAAAGCTCTCACCATCGGTAAATTTTTTATGGATTCGATTCGTTACATTTTCTTTTTCTAATTTTGGGAAATTTTTTTACTTCTGAGAGATTTCTAATAAAGATGTGTGCTTTGTTTTTGTTTCCTTGAGCAGAGGATGAGAAGTTCTATTGTCTCTGTCGTCCTGGTGAGTTTGAATTTGTCACGGTTGGGTTTGTATCGTTTTAATTTTGAAATTGAAACTTCCCCTTTCTTCCTTTAAGAGAATTTCACTTCTATATTTGCCGGGTTACTTGATAAAAATCGAGATATCTAAGAGAAGAAGGAAGAAAATCAAGGGTCGAAATTTGATTGTACGATTGATATTTTTGGGTGAGTTGTAAATTCTTGATGACTTGTAACTTGGGTGAGCACTCTTGAAAAGTTGAAGGGGGCTCTCGTTGGGGGCACGATTTGATAAGATGATAATTCTTGCGACGTTTGAAGGAGAAAATGAGGTTGATTGGTATTAGAAGTTAGATAGAGGGATCAAATATTTGTAGGGTGTTTCGCTATTAGTTCGCCAAATCTTCATATTCTGAAATTTGTTCCCCAAATCTTTATATTATGAAACTAGTTTCAGAAATCCTTTTACATGATATTCATATTCCGTCATCTCTCTTGTCACACATGTTTGATCGTATGTTAAAGCCGTCCCTTGCGAGCGACAGTCTGAAATGTTAATATTTCACAAATTTGATCTTTTTCATTTTATCCGGCATCATATATCTAACTAGTTTGTTACTTTATATCATGCAGTTTTGATTGTGGAATTTTCTTTCCCTTATATGTGAAGGCTAGTGTGCATGTCTGTATTGTGTATATTTAGCTTAGTTGTGTAAACAGTCGATGTGGATGACAAACAATGTAGCAAGTTTGACCTTTATTGTTCTTATTGTATTTTCTGACGTGGATGACAAATAATGTAAACAGTAACATGTTAACTTTCATAATAATATGTTAACTTTCTTCGTACATGTTAACTTTTATCATAATATGTTAACCTTCACTATTACATGTTAACTTTCACCATAATATGTTAACGTTTATCATAACATGTTAACTTTCAACTGAACATGTTAACGTTCACCATAATTGGGGATTTCTTCTTCAACTGAACATGTTGGTTTTCAAATATAAGCGGCTTGATGCAATGGAGTTTTGATACTGCATACAATTAATGTAGTCGTTCCCAGATGATATATTAACTTTCTTCATAAATTATGTCAACTTTCATCATTATATGTTAACTCTCCTCGTAACATGTTAACTTTCAGCTAAACATGTTAACTTTCATCATAGTATGTTAACTTTTACTGTTATATGTTAACTTTCATAATAATATGTTAGCTTCTTCATAACAAGTTTTTTTAAACTAAAATTCGATGTGTTTGAAAGACTAAAAGTCCCTCACGATGATTTATCATTGATATATAAATCTGAGAGGCACCCAAAATAGTGGTTGTATGGAGATTCATATGCAAGCTGTTGTTTATATAGAGAGTTCTATTTTTTTTTAAATCTGAAAGTTCTAACTGAGGAAAACTTGCGTGGCAAGTATGAAAAAACTCTTACCGAGTTCGAGAACTCTAGACGAGTTATAACTCTTATGAAAGAGTTGATTTGAACCGAGTAATCGGTTATTAGCCAAGCCAAAGAGCTCCGAGATGATTGAAGAAGAAATCCCCAATTATGGTGAACGTTAACATGTTCAGTTGAAAGTTAACATATTAACACGTTCAGTTAACAGGTTTTTTAAACGCTTCTACGAAAATAAAGCAGTGAAAGTTAACAGGTTTGGATGAAAGTTAACATAAAGCAGCGAAAGCTAACATACAGTATGAAAAGTTAACATACTAGGAGGAAAGTTAACACGTTCAGTTAAAAGTCAACATATAATTATTATAGTTAACACGTTCAGTTAAAAGTCAACATATAATTATTATAGTTAACACGTTCAGTTAAAAGTCAACATATAATTATTATAGTTAACACGTTCAGTTAAAAGTCAACATATAATTATTATAGTTAACACGTTCAGTTAAAAGTCAACATATAATTATTATAGTTAACATGTTCTGGTAAAAGTTAACATATAGCTATGATATTTAACACACGATAGTGAGAGTTAACATGTAACCGTTATGAAGAAAATTGACACTGTTACTCAATCTGCTACACCTTGAACCCCCATTTCTATCACAACATTTCTATTACAACAATCAGAAACAACATTGAACACCATTCAATCAATCCATCATCATCATCATCTACGGCAATCACGACACTTTTGACATGCAAATCACAAAAACCAACTAAAAGAAGCACTCAATGGTCTTGTTGCCAATTTTCTTCCAAACATCAACCTACTACAACGTCCTCCTCCTCGAGGTGGACTCGAATGTCGCCCGAGGCATCAGCCCAATGTCTTTGAAGTGGAGGCAGCTTTAGCAGACCAAAATAGAAAGAGAATTCCATAAGCGTCGAAGTAGTTTGCCCAATTTTGTCTGAAGATCAAAGATTTAGTATTAATTTGTTTCAAACAGCAATTTTAAGAAAGTTGAAAGATGATTATTACCACTTACCTCACAGTTAATGGCAAAAGATCATCCTTATTAACAAGAAGCAAAGTTTTCTTGTGCTCATCAATTTCACGTGCATATGCCTGCACATCAAAGATAGTCCTTTTACTTATGAAATGCCAAGACTTAGTTGGCAACATAAGATCACCAATAAATATGTTGTGTTGCTATAATTCTTTGAGGTCATGATCAAGGATATCTGCATATGCATACGAGCATAGTTCTGTCAGATTCTCACCTTATTTTACAGCAAGAATGTCCTTAAAATAAGGGCAAATTGAAAAAAAAAGGATCAGATGGCATAATCGATTCACATAAACTGCAAAAAAAAAAAAAAATCCATTTACTATTATTAATTCACAATAAGTACTCAAAATCTCCCTCGTCCGCACACGTTCACCGACGGTGGCGGCTTCTTCTCGTTGTCGCCTCCGCCCAATTTCACGGAGGTTTGAGCGTGAGAAGAGATGTGAGGGAGAGAAGCCAGAAAGGTCCTGAGAGGAAGGAGAAGGAGTTGAGGGTATTTTAGGTATTCCTAATTAATGGCTCACTGTGTTATCTTGGAAAAGAAAAAAGGGGCTGAAACACAAGTGTTTCTTGTATTTGGGGCTTTGACACCCAAAAAAAAATAAGGGGGGCCTAGTCACATCCCATTTAATATTTTGGGGCCTTAAAACATTTTTTCCTATTTTATTTTACTTTTTAAAGAGTAATAGTTTTTATTTAAAATATAGATTTTTTAAAAAAAATTTATTTCAAATTTGCTATCACGTCCAGAAAGTGCGCAAGCCTCTTGCCACGATTAACTCATGGAGATCCAGTAACTATAACATTTATTTGGCTAATAATAATATCAAGCTCAACTCAAGCAATCACAGCCTGGCAACTATGATCTCAAAGTTGGCTTCGTAGTAACAAACACAAGCAACCATTTTTCACCTCATATATATATAAGACTTTCTCCGAAGAAACATATACAAAATCACTCCCCTTAGTTGGGTGAGGAAGGTCCTTATGTCTGTAAATAAAAATTACTAAATTGGGTTTTTTCAAGGATATTTTAGTTATTTCTCATTTACACACACAGGGTTCCATTGGGCATATTTAAGGGGTTTATGTGAGACACCCAAAAGTCCAAGGGGATTTGATGGTAAAAAAAAGTTTCTTATTTTTTTGGGGAGTTCATGGGATACACCCAAAGTTCAGGCATAAAGACATCAACTGAAAAATTATCACTTAACAATAGAACAACTTATGCAAAATAAGAGCATAGCATAACATCAAGAATGCTAAAGCAGCAAAATTTATGTGGCGACGGATATTGCATGTATATAAATCTCCTACGATACAGGACAAACAAAATGGTGTTTTGCCTCTCTTTGAAGCACTATATATTTCGATATCTCAAATGCGAAGAACAGACCTCATGAAATATCCACTACAAATATGATGTGGCCGAGAATCATGACATAGTACTCAAAGGTAGCAAAAGGAAAAAAGCTACCAGAGATTATTTCGATGTGCAAAAGAGACTCAGCATGGATAAATGAGTAGCCGCGAGCTTATAAATCAAGGAGGAGCCTACGAGGATCTTCAACTACATCCTTGATCCGTCTCAGGAAGAAGACGGCCTCTCTTCCATCAATCAATCTATGATCGTAGGTCAACGCAACGTACATCATCGGCCTTGGAAGAACCTGACCGTTGACAACTATAGGCCGGGACACAATGGAGTGCATACCTAGAATGGCTGACTGTAAAACAGAGAAAATGCCTTCAAAGTTTGAGATGAGCAACATGAGCAAGGTAATAATTTAGGATAAATCATATAAAATCCTCCAAAATTTTGCAGAATTCACAGAGAACCTTAAGGTTTTTGAAAGTGACATTTTTATCCATCCATTTCAATTTCTATGATGTTAACTAAGATGTAAATTTATGATTGTAAGATATAACAAGTATCCATATCAACATATACTGTCTTATCTATTACATTGAAAAAGCAGTTGCTTATTTGACCAGAAATCTAAAATAAGGGAGGTAGCCTGACACTTTTTATAATATTTCAGGGTTTCCTGTGGTTCATAACTTCATATGTCCCATGGATTATGTAATTATTCGATAATTTATTAGATGATTAGATTGATACCTGTGGGGGATTGATAATTGGAGTGCTTAGAAGGCTTCCATAGACTCCACCATTTGAGATAGTGAAGGAGCCTCCAGCCATTTCATCAATAGATAATGTTCCGTTGTTGGCCTTCTTAGCTAGAGTATTGATCTCTTTCTCTATTTCGGCAAAGTTCATCTTATCAGCATCGCGAATAACTGGCACCACGAGGCCCTGCAAAAGCGAGAAGTAAATGAAATAAAATGAAAAAAAAGTATAATGTTCATAATGGCTAATATGTCACAAAAAGGGGGGGAAACGATTTTTGCACCTTTGCTGGAAATAATAAAGCAGCAAAGCAACAAAAAACACTGGACTAACAAACCTTGGCGGTGCCAACAGCAACACTGATATCTATATAATCTCTATATATGATATCTTCACCATCAATGACCGCGTTAACGATTGGCTGATTCTGCAGTCCACTAACCGCTGCCTAATAGTATAACATGATATGTGTAAGGACGACGGAAATATCATGGGGCTTTCAGGTAGATAGCAAATATAACATACTTTAATAAAGCCTGACATGAACCCCAATTTCACTCCGTGCTTCTCAACAAACGCATCCTTGTAATCAGAACGAAGTTTCATCAGGTTTGTCCTGCAGTTTGTAATTTCAGTATGTATCGAAAGAAATAAATTGTGTGCAAGATGTGCAGGGAACACAACACTTCATGAGACTAGAAATTGCCACTAATCAATACAACAGACAAGTATTTTGTCTTGAATAAGTCCAACTAAACATCAAAAGACCTGACCAAGTTAGGTCACTGATGATGGCTTATTTAAAGTCTGTTACACCACTCATAACATCCTTTTTGTTAATTTTCTTTGATTCATGGCGTAGAAATTAAGATCTAATAGTATCAACCGAGCACACATATCGCCAAACTAGCTAAACTACATTGAGCTGAAATAATAAAAATTCATGCCTGAAGCATTATACCTTGGTTAACATTGAGCCTGATGCAGCTTCCGAATTCATAATATGGCAGATTATTGAAAAAACTAAAATGCAAGGATAACTAGAGAAGCTAAAAGGAAATGCTTCTTTATGTGATGAGCATACTGGCGACGAAGTAGCAAGCAAAATAACGTACATGTCAACTTCATTAAATGTAGTTAGCATTGCAAATGTGTTCTGAGAGTCCTTCAGGCGTGCAGCTACTCGTTTCCTGAGTCGCCCCATTGGAACCTGAAAAGAAAACACTATTAAGAGAGTTCCCATAAAAAGGAAAGCGCTTTGTTTTAAAACCTATTGGTCATGCACTCTACTGAAAAACCCTGATCGAAAATCTCTTGGTTCTCTTATACCCTGTTGATAACCATAGTATTCTAAAACATAAACTAACACCAGCATCGTAACAATATTCTGTACCAAAAATAAAACAAACTTCTTAAGCCTTTTGCACAAAACTGTTTTACTCCACAACATCAAAATTCAAACATTTCATCATTATGTATATTCTTCACTAACAATAGATAACAGAAGCAGAGGCTCGAGTAGGCACAGCAGAAGGTTCTTTAGGCTTCTCTTTGGCAGCATCTTCTACTTTTGCCTTTGATTTATCTGTTTCCTTCACTGCAGGAGGAGACGGTTGTGCGGCGCTTTTGTCTGGCTCCTCTGATGGGGCAACATGGGTAACAGCTGAAGCAGACTTTGAGATGACAGCAACCTTAGTCCCTGGCATCACAGTGTCACCTTCATTGGCTACAAACTGCCAATAATATACATTGAAGCATTGTTAAATAATAGCAGATAACATACAAGTAATATCGACAAAGGCCTTGCTGTAACTTTATTGAGGGATATAAAGATGTGAAAGGTACTAAAGATTCAGGAACCTTTTCAATTATTCCGGCTTCAGGGCTGGCAACATCAATAGTCACCTGCATGAGAAGATTATACAAGTGTCTCGCTACATATGCATCCCAAAATTTATTTTACAGAGTACAACTATAAAACTTTAGAGAATATACCTTGTCAGTTTCCACCTGGGCAATCGGTTCATCAACTTCAACCCTATCACCAGGTTCTGGTCCCACATAACATGGTCACAAGATCCAAGTAAAGTAAGTGTTCAAATAAAATGAGTAAGGGAACTATTACTATGTGATCCACACGGGTACATGCACAGACATGTAAATGTGTATTTAAACTTGAATGCACACCTGGAGGTACATGACAGTGCCTGTGCATGAAAAAGGAATGGTAATCTCCGTGAATGACTTAAATATAAAGAAAGGAATGTACATACTCTTTAAGAATGTAGAGAGAGTTCCATCAGTTATAGACTCGCCCATAAATGGAACCACAGCATCAAATATATCACCTTCATCCACACAACAGGAAATGAAAGGGAGAAATCATTAATAAAGCTTCATTAGTTCATCTAGAACTAGAAAAGAAAACTAACAGCTAAGAATGGTGGAATGGCAAGAGGCCTTACCGTTATCTGAAGAAAACGACCTGCTCCAAGCATGATATGGAGAGTCCTTCTGAAAAAACTTAATAAATTCCCTGTGTGGTTGACATACAAGATGACAGCAGTTATGATGGGGTTAACTGAACCACCATACATATAAAAGTGTGATCAATCATAGCCCCTCTGAAAGAGAAGATTAAAAAAGATTTAAGCCTACTGCTCACCTCCTTGGCTTCGAGTTTATAGGTATCTTGGCACCTGAATTTAAACATTATTTTAGCTTACAAGTTCAACTATAGTACACAACCATAAACAAAAGTACCTGGAATATGGCTGAAGTTCTTCACATGCCTGTAACTTCTCAACAGGAAATACGTCTGTGCAAATGTTACAATAGTTAAGATTGTTTCCAAATTCTTCAGTATTGGCAAAACATTGAATGACAAAAAGATAGCAACACATGGCAACTATTGGTCAATGGAAACCAGGCATCAGAGTAAAATATCAAAATTATGACTCAGAGTTCAAACCAGAAAGATCTGGCATTCATCTTGTTCAACATCTAAGTTTTGACTTAAACAAAATTTGAGGAGTACAAAATATGAACAACAGCAGCAGCATCAATAACAGCAGGGACAATGAAGTCTTACAGATACTTCTCAGGGAAGCACTATCTAACTGGTGACAAGAGATTTTACCTAGGACCTGTAGGCAATCAAATAATACCTTATTGCCGAGCAAACTATATATTAAACTCGAAAAATAAGTGACAAAACTATGTTATGTGCACATTAGACAGTGAATAATAGCATTATATAATAAAACTATGAAACAGAAATGAGCATTTTGAGAGCGATTTTGGACCGAAGGGAGAAGATCCTCCGGAACAAGACCGACTCGCTTGTTCGTGTGATGTGGCACCCAGGTTCTCCTGGAGAGTCGACTTGGGAAACTGAGTCTGAGATGCGACAGCGATATCCTCATTTATTTCCTGAATCTTAGCTGTCCTGTCTTGTATCTTATTTGAATCGCCTTGTATGACTTTTCATATTTATGGATATGCAATATATTTTGAACCTTATATGAGCTGAAGTGGATCTATCTTTATATTTCGTCCTTGTTATTTTAATTCCGAGGACGGAATTTGTTTTCACAAAGCAAGTTCAAACACTGACAGCTTATTTCAACAATAGTAGTATGAAGGTAAAGTGTTCATATACAATTAGTCAATTACATGTAAGAAAATGAAGATAGATCATGTGATGAGTCAGCATTCTGCCCTTTTACCGAGAACAATCATTTTAAACAGGACATACATAAAACATATTCCAATTCTTCAAAAGAACTAGTGTTCTCCTTCATTGATATATGGGTAAATATGTAAACTCAATGGTTATGTTACAGCAGACAATCATAAAATTAATTTGTTATACACAAAGGGGGAATGCTCATCCTTAGTTTTTATTTTTGCTTCTTGAAGAGTAAGTTGTAGCATGATGCAAGCAGAATTTAAACCCAAACCTCCTGCACAATACAAAGAGGGTTTACACATGCTTATAATAGCAGTTTCTGCATTATCATCTATTCAGATGATTTGTGAATGTACGATATCAATAAGTTTGCTATTGAAGGAGTGATGAGATCATAATTGCAGAAATAACAAGGACTAGGAGAGATCTTGACAGAAATAGCAAGGACTAGAGTAGATCTTGACAACATGGATTTGAATGGCAGAGAAATAGTGTATGGAACAGAAAAACAGCTCTTCATAGAGCTGGAAGTTGGAAAGCTACATGAAGTTACTCAGGAAGGTCTGGTACAAAGCCCCCGTCGTTGTTACTGAATTTAAGCTCTTGAAAATCCAGGAAGATTTCAAATTTCACATCAGTTAGTACATCGTTATTGCTAAACTACCTCATTACTTAATGGCTCGCCACTATTGGTGGTGACAGATATCGTAGAACAGCAGGATACTTAACCATTTTTTCCAGTGAAAGTTTACTATCTTGTACAAGACGAAACTTTATCCTTATTCTTAGGGTCATTGTACTTAATCTGCTAATGAAAAAGACAAGTTTCTGCCATTGGCAAGGCTGCTGTTGGTGAGGCCTATACAAGTTAAGCATGAATACATCAAACTCTCAGTCCAGCCATTATAAATCCTAAATTTTGCATACATTTCTTGTTCAAATAACAGGAATACTTTACCTTGTCCTTAAAGAACCCATATACTACCAAACAATGTCAAACTCAAGCAGACTCTTGATCATTGATCATAGTAGTAACTAGTAATAGATTTCCATCGTTTGTTCTTGTTTGCTACCGCATCCACATACATTGGTCTAAATGTCAGCTACAGGACTCATGTCGGACAAAAAATTCCATACTGGAGGCGAATATAAAAAATATATCCAGGATATTTAGTAAATATTAGAATGCTATGCTGGTAGCATTTTTAAATCAAAGACGTTGTAAGCATCTAATATACCAAAAAAATCATGTCAACAATATATGTTTTGGAGAGAGAGTAGAAGTGAGCAGACTTCCGTCTACAGCGCTCAAACTATTGCAGCGGCGTGGCTTCACCGACACAGAAGATGTCTATATAAGAGTGGAGAGTAACACTGAATAAACACAGTGAAGACAAAGAACAACACACAAGAGTTTAATGTGGTTCGGTCAGTATGACCTACGTCCACGGACGAGAACAGCAGAGAACTTCACTAATTACAAAAGAGAAGATTACAAAAGAGGAGATAACTCTCTAACTAGAGAATCACACAAAGAAAGACTTCTCTTTCTATCTCACTCTCTTCTCTCTAACTCTCACTTCTTCTCTCTGTTTGTTCTGTGTTCTAAACTCTCTCACACCCTCCTTATATAGCCTTCAAAAAATAATAAAATATTAAAAACTTTTGGTGGAATGTTAGGCGGCACAGTGAAAGGTTAGGTAAATGGAGAAGTTCAAAGTCACACGTTTTTCACAAATCTCCACATTGACTTTGAATATGAAGATTTCTTCTCTTCACTCTTGTTATCTCGCCAGAAACCCCTTACGGGCTTAACCTCCGCTTTGTTGAACTCCAAGCAATTCGAGACAATGCTCGAACTTGCGCGAAGGCACGAGCTTCGTCATCATATTTGTCGGATTGTCTGCAGTATCAATTTTCTCAATCTTGATGACTTTAATTTCTCTGATAAAATGATACCTGACATCTATATGTTTGGTTCTTTCATGATACATTTGATACTTCGTCAAATATATAGCACTCTGGCTGTCGTAAAATACTAAAATAACACATTGGTGTAAACCTAGATCTTCAATCAAACCTCTCAACCTAATGATTTCTTTCACTGCTTCTGTCACTGCCATATACTCTGTCTCTGTGGTAGACAGAGCAACTGTCGACTGTAGAGTCACATTCCAACTAATGACACTACCTGAAAGAGTGAATATATAACCTGTTAGAGATCGTCTCTTATCCAAATCGTCCGTATAATCTGAATCAGAATAGCCAAGTATTCTGCAATCTGAGTTTGTGTTCCTACCAAAATATAAACTAATATTAGCAGATCCTCTTAAATATCTAAGTATCCATTTCACAGTCTGCCAATGGACCTTTCCAGGCTTATCCATATACCGACTCACAACATTGACTGCATGTGAAATATCTGGACGGGTGCAGACCATAACATACATAATGCTTCTAACTACACTAGCATAAGGAACACAAAACATGTATTGCTCCTCCTCAGTCTGAGGTGATAAATCTGTTGAAAGACGAAAATGAGTAGCAATCGGAGTCTTCACAGACTTGGCATCAATCATGTCAAATCTCTCCAACACCTTCTTAATGTATTTCTCCTGAGATAGGAATAAGCTTCTTCTCGCCTGTTTCTATGGATCTCTATAACCCACAATTTATGAAAAACGTGTGACTTTGAACTTCGTCATTTACCTAACTTTTCACTGTGCCGTCTAACATTCCACCAAATTTTTTTAATATTTTATTATTTTTTGAAGGCTATATAAGGAGGGTGTGAGAACAAAGAACAAACAGAGAGAAGAAGTGAGAGTTAGAGAGAAGAGAGTGAGATAGAAAAAGAAGTTTTTCTTTGTGTGATTCTCTGGTTAGAGAGTGATCTTTTTTTTGTAATCTTTTTTTTTGTAATTAGTGAAGTTCTCTGCTGTTCTCGTCCGTGAACGTAGGTCATACTGACCGAACCACATTAAATATTTGTATGTTATTCTTTGTCTTCACTGTGTTTATTCAGTGTTATTCTTCATTCTTGTATAGACATCTTCTGTGTCGATAAAGCCCCTCCGCTGCAACAAACTAGTATCAGAGTCTGCTTAGAGTATGTGTATCTGCTTATCGTATGCTCTATGACTGTCACTAAAAGTAGATCCTCCACATCATAAAATAAGTTAGATTATCATTTACTCTTTAAATACACTGGGTACTAGTCACGAGTATGGTACTATTCAAACGTAATGTTACTATTCATACGTATGATTACTGTTTAAAAGTATGGTTACTGTTTAAAAGTATAGTTACTATTCATAATTACAATTACTGTTCTATTTGGCTTCAAGATATCTTTTGTAAAATACAAAATGAAGAAATTCGATGAGAAAAACAGTTTTAGTTTGTGGAGAGTAAAAATAAGGGCTTTCCAAGTATAACAAGGACCGTTCAAATTCTTATCCGGAAAAGATAAGTTGTCGGAATCTATGCCCGATGATGAGAAAGAAGAACTGGAGATGAAGGCGTATAGTGCCATACAGCTCTATTTGACCGATGAGGTCTTGTAGGACGTTGCAAATGAAGATACCGCCGCCGGCTTGTGGCTCAAGTTCGAGAGCTTGTACATGACGAAATCTCTAACGAACAAGCTATATTTGAAGCAACGCCTCTTCACCCTTCACATGAAGGAAGATATACAAATTAAAGACCACTTAGATGAACTTAACACTATTCTTATGGATTTAAAGAATATTGATTTTAAAATCGACGAATAAGATCAAACACTCATCTTGTTATGTTCATTACCTCATTCCTATGAATTTTTTTTCAATAGCATGTTATACGGTAGAGATACACTTGTTTTTGGAGCATGTCAAATCAGCCTTACATTTAAAGAGTTAAGACAGAAAGTGTCTGTCGTAGGAGGAGAGGATCAAGCTGAAGACTTATTCGCTCGTGGTCGTTCTGAAAAGGGTATTGGTGGTAGAGAAAAGTCTAGAAATATGTCTAGATCAAAGTCCAGACCAAGAAAAAATGTTGAATGTTATTACTGTCACAAATATGGGCATATAAAACCTAATTGTCCAGCGCTCAAAGCAAAGGATAATTCACAGTCGAAGTTCGAGGAGGTGAAACCTTCAGTTGCCACTGTAACTGAAGAGTCTTCTAGTTCATATTAAGTTCTTTCAGTTAGTGTTAATACTCATTCACAAGATGAGTGAGTTCTTGATTCAGGTTGTTCCTATCATATGTGTCCGCATAGCGATTGGTTTGTCACATTGCAGTCTATCGATGGTGGGAATGTCTTGTTAGAAAATAAGATGCATTGTAAGACTGTTGGTATCAGATCAATTAAGATTAAAACCCATGATGATATTGTTAGAATATTGAGCAATGTCCGTCATATTCCAAAGTTAAAAAAGAACCTCATTTCTTTAGGCACCATTGACTCAAATGGTTTTAAGTTTTCAGCTAAATGTGAAGTTTTGAGAGTTAGTAAAAACTCTCTTGTTGTGATGAAAGGAAAGAAGGTAAATACCCTCTATATCATTGAAGGCAGTACAGTAACAGGTGCTGTAGCAGTATCATCCTTAGAGGATTCAGATTCTGACCCTACACGTTTGTGACATTTACGGTTAGAGCATATGAATGGGAGAGGACTGGATGTATTGGAGAACAGTAAAGAATTTCACTAATCACAAAAGAGAAGATTACAAAAGAGAAGATCACTCTCTAACCAGAGAATCACACAAAGAAAGACTTCTCACTCTCTTCTCTCTAACTCTCACTTGTTCTCTCTGTTTGTTCTGTGTTCTAAACTCTCTAACTTGTTCTCGCCCGTGAACGTAGGTCATACTGACCGAACCACATTAAATCTTTGCGTGTTGTTCTTTGTCTTCACTGTTTTATTCAGTGTTATTCTCCACTCTTGTATAGACATCTTTTGTGTCGGTGAAGCCCCTCCGCTGCAACACAAACTGACCAAACACCCGATTTCTATAGGTTCGTCAGTTTTATATATTGGTTGCCTTAATTTGGGTTTTTTTCAACGTGTGCAGAACAAAGAAATCTAGTGGATGAAGAAGCTGGGATCATTATTTTATGGGTGATTTATAGTGTTTGGATTGGGCTTTAGCTAGATGTCAAAGCTATGTCTTTCTGCCTCTTTACAAGGTTAAGCTTCAATTAGACTTAGCCCAATCAAATTAGGGCAAAGAGGGTCATAAATAGAATATTTTTATTGTCGCACTATTTCTTAGCTGGATCGACAAACCAAAGAAAGGGGATCGAACAAACCAAACAAAGCAAACAAAGTCGGTTTAGTTCAATTTGGTCAAAATGACCAAAACTGACCATTTGCTCTCTCCTATATAACAGAGAAGCTAGGGACATGCTTACTCGTGGTGACATGAAATCGAGGTGTAGAAGAGGTGACTGGCACTCGAAGCTGAAGAAATTCTCGATTGGAGAATAATGAGGTGAAAGTTTGGGTCTTGATTGTTTTTAATTCTCATATTTCAACATTTATATAAATTCACCATTTCAGCAAAAAAAAATTCTGCCTGAATATCAATAAAATACCAAACTACTGCCCAGTTTATTGGAAAATCTTGATATGTCGCCACATAATTTCCCAAAAATAACATGTGACATGCAAAACCTCTCTCATCGTGGCAATCCCTGTAAAACAACACCTTTGGCTGACATGTTGGCCCATTTTTTAAACACTGACCACGTCCTACATCTCTTTCGTTCCCATCTCTCTCGCTCATAATGGTATTAGCTACGAGCGTGACAAATTCGATTATATAGGTAGATGAGGAAAAAATTCTTCTGGTTCATTTCCTTTTCTTTTTTCCCCCCTTCTTTTTTACCCTTTTATAGGTAATTGCAAGAGCTTTACCCTTGTTATCATGTTAAAACCGTTGATTTATTCTTTACTAATTAACATGTAATTTGGGACCAATTCCAAAGCATATCTGATGCCAGTTTATCCCAGCGTCACAAGAACAAATCTTTAATCATCTGATCTGAGCAATAAAAAAAAACCCAAGTACTGAAATTGAACTTGGAAAATCTCTACACATCTGAGAATGAAGATTAATAATCTATAGAAAAAAAGGGAGAGGATAAGGAATTGAAGCTTACGGCCGCGGGTCGACGAACCAAGCGAGCGAGGTTGGACGCCATGGCCAGATCGAGGCTGGGATCACGATGAGTACGAGAAGAGCTTCGAGAAATCCTAGATCGACAAAGGTTGGAGAAATATGAGGGAGGAAACCCTGGAAATACTTGACTTTTCTGCGTTTTTTCCCTTTTTGATTGAGATTTTTCCTTCAATTTTTTGGTTCTCTGAGCAGGGTTCTCGGTTCAGACTTTGCCTCTTTTATACCTCCTCGTTCTTCCTGGGTGCTCTTCTGGCTGTTGGCACGCACGTTGTTGATTGCCACTTGTCAAATAACACTAAGGGTCTGTTTGGTTGTTGTTGGTAAAATTGTGTATTTATGATACAACTTGGAAAGTTGTTGTCCGCCTCATCAATTTCACTTGTATACTTTTCTTTGTTTGTTTTTTATTCCATTGGAATCATAAATTTCTTGTTTGGTTTGCAAATGTAACATTAATTGTTTGTTTGGAAAGTGTAAAAAGTGGTCCATATTCAAATGATCATATTGGTTAGAATTATTTTTTTCTGACTTCAATGTCAGCTTTCTCCTAAAATTATGTCTTTTTTTTATGAAATCACTTTACAAACCACATCAGCATATGAAATCACTTTACACTATTATCACAACTACAAACAAACAATTGAAAGTGATGAAAGCTGACTCAGCATATGAAATCACTTTACACTATTATCACAACTACAAACAAACAATTGAAAGTGATGAAAGCTGACATTGGGACCCACTTTTTTACACTTTCCATCATTTTACATGGTAAAAACATACAACCAAACAGCCCCTACATACTTCATGTTTTACTGTTAAATATATTAAAATTCTATAATTAAAATAGAATAATCGGGGATATTTTTAAATTAGAATTTGGGTACGACAATAATATATTAAATAAATGTTAATGGTTAAAACACTCTAAAATTAACGTGTGAATATTATATTATATCTGAGAATTTTTTGGTTAAAAATTTTCACGTTAGCTTGCATAATAGAGAATAATATGCCTATCTCAAATAACTTAAGGTATATAATTGCAATGGAAAGCAACGGATGATATATAAATGCTAAGCTAGTGATATTATAAGGTATATAAGTGCTATTTAGCCCCTTTTTTTACACTCTTTAGCCCATAGATGTTTTTTTTTTCAATTGGAACTTTCCATTAATTTAGAACTAGGATAATTATTGACATGAGATAACTTTTAAAATTAATAAGAGATCTTAATATGATATATAAATGATTGATATTACAATAAATATTTATTAAATATTGTATTCATTTACATGTATGTATTGCAGTTGTTCATAGTTGGTATAATTTTTAAAATCTTCCATAGTTTTAGCATATCAAGCTTTTTTCGATTTCTATTGGAGGTCTTATTGCAATTAAAGTTGCAAGCAATACTCCATTTATAACTAAAAAAGATTGTAATCGTGGCTTATTCCCAACTTCACACAAGTCGTCCACTGCAACTGGAGGTATTTCTACAACCATAGTTACAACTCTATTTCGTTGATTCGGTCACACAAATACTTTCAACATGTTAGAAATATCACTTCTCATAAGTAATTAAAGGAAGATATGAAGTATGGATGCGGTTTTTAAATATAAGTAGGCAATAAAAATAATAATAACGGGACTTATGAATTAACTATTATATGAAACTCACCAAGAAGAGAACAATGTGGAAGCTTACGTGGAACAGCTAAAACGAGCGTTCGTTCACAATTTGCAAAAACAAATGTTTGTTTGTTTCGACTGCAACCTTGAAACCTTCACAACATCTAAATAATTGCGTACGAATAACAAACGCATCTTCCGTTGTAGGTGCATGTTTACTTTTACATAACGCTTTTGCTTTCATTCACGGCGCACGTTGAGCGTATCAAAGGAAGGAAACAAGCCGGTACGCTTGCTAATCCATCCAGAGTTAAGAGTTAGCAAAAGGAGATTTTTATTCGTGATGTAGATAACATTCCTAAAGCTAGAACGTGCCCCAGAACTATTTGGAAAGGGTGGTGTTACAGGGACCTAAAAACATGAGACTCTACATGGGACATGTGAGGTGTCGGCTCCATGTCCCATGATGCACTATTTATGAAGTACATCATGGGATAGGGAACCGACACCTCACATGTCCCATGTAGAGTCCCGTGTTTTTGGGTCCCTAAGCCATTTTTCATACCATTTGGAAATCATTCCTAGCTTATCTAGTATAATATTAGTATTTTGTATTCCTCTATGTGCTTTTTTTATAGGCTAAATATCCAACCCTCCCTAAGTTTAGAGATTATTAGAAAACCCCCATTTTAGCTTAAAGATTTAAAGAAAAACATTAACCGTAAATTTTCACATGAATGAGTAAAAATACGTTGGGCGGGCTTTTTTACTATAATTGTGATTCACACTTTTGTGGGGCTTTGTTGATGAAATCTTAAAGGTAAGGGGGATTTTGTGATAACCCCTAAATTTAAGAGAAGTTTTCGGATATTTTAAAACTTATGGAAGATTAATATGCGATAATTGTCCGAAGTTGAGGGCCTTTAATTTTCTGATGTTGAGCTACATGTGTCACTGGAAGTGAGGGAGGCACGTGACTAGTCACTTCCGAGTAAAAACTTGGAGGGCTACAGTAGTGTAGGACACATGGTTTTAATGAAATAAACCGGTGTATAAGATGTTAGGCTTGAAATGTGCAACTCAAGATCAAAGCGTATGAGACATAAACACAAATAGTAGAACACAAGCACACCGGCATACCAAAGAGAGGGCCGGTTTTGGGAGTGGCCCAATTAATACTGGGCTGTTTCTAGGACTGGCCCGATGATTATCACTTGGTTGATTTTGG